TCTGATAATCCCGAAGTAGTGTCGGTTCCTGTTCCATTTGATGGTTTTGGATATCGATCATGGATAATGCGAGCCCTATCAATGAAAAATAAACTAGGTTTCATCAACGGAGAATGCAAAAGACCAGATCCAGACTCATCGAAGTATCGACTGTGGGAAAGGTGCGATGACATGGTAACTTCATGGATCCTAAACTCTTTAGCTAAGGAAATTGCAGATAGTGTTGAGTATGTGATAGATGCAGTTGAATTGTGGAGAGAACTCGAAGATCGATTTGATCAAACCAATGGAACAAACTTGTACCGGATTCAAAAGGAAATCAATGATCTTTCCCAATGAGCCCTTGACATTACTGGTTACTATACTAAGATGAAGAAGTTATGGGAAGAACTCAACACTTTAATTGCCAAATCTCATTGTACTTGCAATTGCACGTGTGGGGCCAAGGAAAGTATGCACAAAGCTGAACAGAATAGGAGGTTGATACAGTTCCTCATGGGACTGAATGAGATATATATTGTAGTTCGAGGTAGTATCCTCATGATGAATCCTCTTCCCACAATTGCCCAAGCTTTTTCATTACTAATTCAAGAGGAAAGATAGAGAGAAATCAAGCCAAATAATCATTTGGCTCTCGAATCATCAGCCTTAAGAACTAGCACAAGCAGGCCAAGGTCCTTGAAGACAAATTACTCTCCCAACATCAATCACAATAATAGAAACAGGCCATTTTGTGATCATTGCAAAAGATCAGCGTATACTAAAGAGAGATGTTATAAGCTTCATGGCTATCCTCAAAGTTTCAGTCAAAATCAGAATCCAAATACAAGTCACAATCAGGCTTCCAACTTCAATCAGAATCCATGACAAAATTTCAACTATGGGCATAATTCCAATGGAGACCAGAACACTAAGTTCAATAGAGGAAATAGAGCAGTGGCTAATTCATATGTGGCAACCAGAGATACACAACCTGCTGACACTGAGAAATATGTTGCTCATGATAATGCTAAAAATGTGAGCCTCGCCAAAGAGGAATATAGTCAGCTAGTGAGTCTATTGCAGCAGTTTCAATCAAGAGGAGGAAGAGATTGCACAGATAGTACCAACATTCCATATGGAGCAGCAAACTTTGCAGGTATTATAGATTGCGCTTCCTCTATTGACTTTGGTAAACTGTCATGTGAATGTTTCAAAAACAAGACTGACTCATGGATTATTGATTCAGGGGCATCAAACAATATGACCTTTAACAGATCCCTATTAGCCGACATAATAAGCTTACTCTATCCTTTATTAGTTATACTTCCAAATGGCTATAAGGTAAATGTGACAGAACTTGGTAGTGTGATGCTCACTCCTAAGATCACTTTAGATAGGGTGATGTTTGTTTCTTCCTTTAGATACAATTTGATCTCTATTCACTCTTTGGCCTCTCATCTCAACTGTCTTGTTGCCTTTGTTAAACACTATTGCATACTGCAGGCCCCTTAATTGAAGAGGCCTTTGGTGATTGATAGAGTCAAGGATGGGCTGTACATCCTGTGCCCAAGCTGCTTGAAGAGAAACAATGCAAGCCCCGCAGTAAAGACCACTGATATCTTGTCAACTACTTTTACTTGTTGCACTTGTAACACATAATGTCCTTCTCATTCTACTATAAATAAGTCATTACATGTCAATAAGTGTGTTTTCTCTCATCCAGTTGTAAATAGTCCATGTGCAAATATTGAAGAACAACTTTCTCTTATAAATCCATGTTCTAAGGCTTCTAGTGTATTTTCTTATTTGTGTATTGGAGATAACGTGGATGTGTTATGGCACAATAGACTTGGACATGTCCCCTTTATCAAAATGAAAAACATTCCTTCCATTCCTGTAACTTTCTCTCCCAAACAACCTTTCAACTGCACCATTTGCCCAATGGCTAGACAAGAAAGACTTCCATTCCCTCAGAAAACTAGTACAACCAACAAAAATTTTGAACTTTTACATGTTGATCTATGTGGTCCATATCATGTTCCTACACATGATAGATACAAATACTTCATGACCATGGTGGATGACTTCATTAGGTCTATCTGGACTCACCTTTTATCTAGCAAAAGCAATGCCCTTCAAGTACTCAAATGATTTATTAATCTAGTTGGAAAACCAATTTGCTGTAATTGTCAAAGCCATAAGGTCAGATAATGGTTTAGAATTCACCAACACAGAAGCAAGTATGATATTCCAATCTAAAGGCATCATCCACCAAAGAACTTGACCCTACACACCACATCAGAATGGTGTGGTGGAAAGAAAACACAAGTATCTCCTTGAAACAGCCAGAGCACTTCTCTTCCAATCTAAATTACCCCTAAAATACTGGGGTGAATGTGTTCTCTGTGCCACCTACATTATAAATAGATTGCCTTCTACCTCTATTAAAAACTAGACTCCATATGAACTATTGTAGAAAAGAAAGCCAAAGTATTCTTACCTAAAAAGCTTTGGTTGTTTGTGCTATCCTACTGTACCAAAATCACATAGGGACAAGTTTGAACCTAGAACAACACCACATGTATTTGTTGGTTATCCATTCAACACAAAGGGGTACAAAGTTTTGAGTCAAGCCACTAAGAAGATTCATATTTCCAGAGATGTAGTCTGTAATGAGTCCATCTTTCCCTTTGCAGTCAACATGAATGCATCTTCTCAACCATGTGTTCCTCATTCCATTCCCTTCATTGAGTCTTCACGTGAACAGTCCTCTGGTAATACAAATATTACACAACAACTGTCTGAAGTTCTCAATGATCAAAAGAGTCCTGATAGCACATCCAATTTTATGTCACCTGCACATGATGCTTCCCCATCACCTTCTCTAGTACCCATTTTTCCATTACCTTCTTCACCACAACATTATATTGAACAATCCTATGCAGAACCTCTAAAACTGAGGTAATCTCATAGAACTCATAGGCCACCTGGTTATTTGCAAGACTATGTACATTCCCTTCCTAACCTCAAACCAAATCATATTTCCCTTAATGCTTTGTTTTCTATGAATCTCCACATTGCCTCTGATATACTAACTCCTAACAGTCAGATTCTTGTGAGAATGTTTGTCATGATAGGGAACCATCATCATATGAGGAGGCAGCTATTGATCCTGCATGGCAGGTTGCAATGACACAAGAGTTTGAAGCATTATAGTCCAATCACACCTGGGACCTAGTAGCTTTACCACACGGGAAGCAAGCAATAAGTTATAAATGGGCCTACAAGGTGAAGCACAAAGTTGATGGTAGTATTGAAAGATTTAAAGCTAGACTGGTTGTCAAATGCTACACTCAGCAGGCAGGAATTGATTACACAGTAACATTCTCACCAGTGGTGAAGATGACAATAGAGAGAGCATTGATAGCCATAGCAATTAAGAAAGGCCGGTCCATATCTCAGCTAGATGTGAATAATGCTTTTCTTCATGGGGGTCTTAATGAGGAAGTGTATATGCAAGTTCCACATGGACTTGTTGTAGATAAGCCAGGACTTGCTTGCAAGCTGAATAAATCTGTCTATGGTTTAAAACAAGCTAGCCGATAGTGGTATGAAAAGTTGACTCAGGCATTATGTTCAAAGGGCTATATACATTCCATGAATTACTACTCACTCTTCTACAAAAGAAATGGAGAATCATCAGTATATGTTGCAGTATATGTGGATGATGTGCTGCTCACTGGGACTGATCAGCAAGAAATTGCACAACTCAAAGCCTTCTTACATGATCAATTTAAGATCAAACACCTGAGCCAATTGCATTACTTCTTGGGGTTGGAAGTCATGTACAAAGATGATGGTGCTATTATATCTCAAAGGAAGTTTTTGCTGGACTTGTTGAAGAATACAATTGTTTAGATCACAGCCCTTGTTCTTCACCCTTAGATCCCACTATAAAGCTAAAGGCCAGGGAAGGCACCATCCTGCAGGATCCTACTTATTATAAAAAGCTGGTAGGTAAACTGAATTTTCTAACTAATACTAGGTTGGTCATTGCGTATAGTGTTCAACACTCGAGTCAGTTTATGCAAGAGCCCAGAGAGCCTCATTTGAAGGCAACATTTCATCTGCTCAAATACTTGAAAAATGACCCTACTTTAGGGATTTTCATGTCAAAAGATGCGGATCACACAGTTAAACACTACTGAAAAATTCGTCTACGGTAACGGTTGAAAAACCGTTCCCACAGATTGCCAAACCGTTGCCATAGGGATATTGAACGGTTTAAAGCCCGTCACATCAGCCGGCGTACCCATAGGTCTACTGGAACGGTTCTTGCAACGGTTTGCATCGCCGTGACAGTAGATACGTCTATCGCAACGGTTTTCCCTTTCTCTGTTGGAACGGTTATTTTTTCAATTGGAACGGTTTTAAACCGTTACTATATTGTTTATACAACGGTTTTTAACCGTTACCATATTATTTAAAGCAACACTTATGTAAGCTATTGCTACAGTTATGCTGGATATAGCCACGGTTTCTTTAGGCTATCGTAACGGTTATATTTGTATTTGGAACAGTTTGTATATTATTTTGGAATAGTTTATGGGACCTACTGCAATGGTTTACATTGTCTACTGGAACGCCATTTGTGTCCTATTGCAACGGTTCTGGTAGGCTATTGTATCAGTTCAGTTAAAACCAAAATATAGTACCAGTTATAAATAAATATTTATACATATAATAAATTATAATAACACTAAAATTTAAATACATTATAAAACGAAACTATTAATAATACAAAATTATCCATCAAACAAATAATATCCATAAAGCAAATGCTCTACCCCATGAGTGCATAAGTTTAGTACATTTCAAGAGAGTAAATAAGTTTCAAAAATGTTGGTAACAAAAGATTCCTAGAACATTCATCTATAACAATTCAAAATTCATTTCAAGTAAGGTCTAGTTCTTCATCGTCTTCATCATCCATTTCTTGATCTACTCCACCTACAAAAGAGGAAAAATAAAGTTATTACCCCTCAAGAGAATCCGGTCTAAGAATACTCAAGCATTTAACTGTTTTCGTTCTTCTTTTATTAATCCAATATATTCATCTCAACAAATTATACACAACATTATCATTCAGTTTCTCTACCAAAGCCCTTCTCAACAAACTATACACAACTATTAATACATATTTATGTGTCACGTATTGCTAAGTGCTAAGAGCCTAAGCATTAAGCAAAAGGCAGCAGCACTAAATAATCAAATCTGCCAATTCCATGCCTAACAAAAGGCGTGTAAGGCACCACCGCAGCATCACTAAATAATCTGCAATTCTGCGTAACAAAAGGCAGCAAGCCAGCAAGACTAAATAATCAAATAAGCAAGCCAGCAACACTAAATAATCATCACTGTGTGACAAACTTTCGCCCAACTCACAAATAACGAGTGCAACGATGCACAATTCAAGTTTAACGAGTGCAACAGTGCACAATTCAAATCTGCCAATTTTGCCTAACTCACAAATAACCACAATTCAAGTTTAACAATAGATAATATTACCTAACAATTTTGCTTAGAAAGGCAATGACGAGACGGGGCAAGGTTAGTGAGGACTAAGAATTTTATATCAAACAATTTGGCAGTATTAAAATACAAAGTCAATAGCTGATTATTTAAAAGAGAACAAAGTATAAGGAACTAGAGTTTGTATTATGGAAACTAGAGTTTAAAATTCTTATTATAGAAAAAATGCTATTCCAAATAAAATGAACTGTTGGACTGTTTCCGTCCTTATACTTTGTTCTCTTTTTTAAATAATAAGTTAGTTAGCACATCAAGTAGCATCGACTTCGAACGGTAAACCTTGAGCTGTTTCGTGATATTTTAGTCCCAAATTGGAAGAAAGTCATCCTCAACTCTAGAATAAGTGACAACGAGAAAACATCTTATGGTGGAAGAAATTACTGCAAAACACTGTTAACAAACCATACTAGTTTGCATATTACTCTAGCATTGAATAAGTAAAAGAAAGCTCTAAGCAAAGACTGTTTTAAGATAGAAACATTAGTCTTATCCAATTTCTTAACGATTTTGCAATTCATTATTTTTCTTTACAGCTTTCAGAAATTGAGATTGGCTTAGGAGTTGGTAATAGAACTTGGTCCAATTCATGGTAATAGAACGAAAGATGGCCGACTTGGTCCAATCAACCTGTCTATCTATTCTAATTTTAAATTCTCAAAGTTCAACTATCATAGAACTGCCAGTATTATTCAGGTATTATTACTATACATAGGAGACCGCTTGGCACTTAAGAAATCATATACTCCTACTAAATAGAAAAAAGGATATTACCATATCCACTCTTCCTTGAACCAAAGCAAAATCCCAAGCAAGGAAGGAGGAGAAGAAATAGAAGAAGATGTATAACATTTGGTACGTACTGACCTTGATTGTTACTACCAGCAGTTGGTCGACTGTTTAGTTGAACAGCAGCTTGTTGTGCAGAGGAAGCATCTACAGGTGAACGTGCACTGAACCTTAACATGTCAGGATCAAGTCGCAGATCTGGGTTCAGACGCTGAAGTCGTGCAATGACGTTCATTGTAATATTTTGTTCCATAGCATCCTTTTGTTCGTTCAACTTTTCATGCATTCTTTGTTGCATCCTCTCTTCCATTTCCTCTATTTTCTGTTGCATCCTCTCATCAGCATCTAAAGAAGATCCAAGATTCCCTTTTCGCCCTTTTAACAAAGTCTTGGTAACCCCTCGTCCATACAATCTCACGCGACCTGGATGTTCAAATCCCATGACTGATGCAAAAGCGTCAACTGAATGACTGCCATCTTCACTTTCCTGAGTTGATTGTATTCTCTCCATTTCAGCCTACAAACCAAATACGAGAGAAAAGAGTTTTAAGTAACTAAAATTGAATCAATAATTAAGAACAAATAAATAATCACGACAAACTTTAAATTAGAAATTTCGTACAATTTTACTAATCGTATTGTCATATGAGCTTTTGTATACTCGGCCAAGTTTTCTTTTTCTTGTAGCCACAAAGATGTCCTTATTTGATAGAGTATCTGAAGTATCAGAGGTTTCCTTCTTTTTTTCTAGTTACATAAAAACAGGTATAAGAATCTTTCCATATAAAGTTAGCAAGTTCATAATTTAAAAAAAATAAGAAAGATAAAACATCAAACCTCGTGAATTAGAGCAAAAGGTGTTCTGCCAGCAGTGTGCGGACACTTCAACTTATTTCGATTCTCTGTATTGGTTTCGGATATTTTCTGGAAATAAACGAGTCAACCAATAGCAACCAACAGTTATGCCTATTACCCACATCAAGACCCAAGACCACACTCATAGTATTAAAGCTTGCTTGATTAAGTACTATCACAACAACTATCAGATTTCAAACCAAAGAACTGGGTAGTTTTCTTCAGGTTCTAAAAGAAACACCACCTCAAATCCCTATAAGCAGATGCTACCTTTAGTCTATGCTTAATCTACAACCTTTAAGCGGATTATATTTCTTAACGGGTGTGCTAAAATCTATAGTCCATAAGCAGCATAATTGACTCATCGTTTTTACAAATGCGTTGGCCATTTCTGAAGAACTATTCCAGCTTTAGCACCCCCAACAACCCTTTCAAATAGAAAATGTTAATTGCATCTTTGAATGCACCAATATTTAACTAGGAAAATGAAAACAGACTGTCCTATTCATGCAGTTTTTTGTTTCTTTTTAAAACTGAAACGAAGGGTGGTGGAATGGAAAGTCCAAGAAAATAAGAATAAATAAGTTGGAGTGATGTCAAGCTCCATTTAGGAACAAGTCTTCTGTGATATGAGATCATGTCGTGGATCATCTTTTATTCTTGACTTTGAGCTTGTATACAACTAGTTGGATTTTATATTTCAAAATAGTTTAGGGTTTACACAAACTGACTAGTAGTAGTACTAATTTACTATAGAAACATTTCAAACATAACATGGCAGGGCAGAAGATTGGGGAAAAGTAAATGGTCAGAATTGCTACAATGAAACAGAACCAATTTCTAATGCAGAGTATTGGGGATCAAAATCAGATTCAGAGATGATAAAATTGATGGAAGTGGCCATTCAGAAATTATAAAATCGGCGTCATGACTCTTGTACCCTGATATTTTCATCTCCTTCACTTGCACGCGTTCTGAAATATTCGAAGCACACCCTTTTGGTTTAACATTTTTCATGACAGTACAAAACAAACTTTTCTGTTTTGGTTCCATGTAGGAACAAGATTTAGCCAAACTTATAGTTTCATTATTATTTATTCTTGGTTGTAGCTCCTTTCGTATCCCCATTTCTTGTTAGTCATAGCGAGATTTTTCATGATCCTTTGATTTTACATCTATTTCTAATAAAGTTCCAAGCAAAGTATCACATGTGTTTTTCTCAATGTGCATCACATCAAGATTGTGCCTCAATTTGTTATGCACCCAATATAGCAATTCGAAAAAAATGGATCTCTTTTTCCACGGACACTTATCACTCCGAGGCCTTTTTTTAGAGCTCTTTCCAAAGATATTGTTGAATTCAAGCAGCTCTTCAAACACTTCTTCACCCGACAATGGAGCAGGTGCAAGTCTATGCTCCTCCTTACCATCAAAAGACTTCTTATCTCGTCGAAATGGATGATCACGAGGCAAAAATCTTCGATGGCCCAAGTAACACATCTTATGACTATGTTTGAAATATTGAGAACATGTGTAATAATTGCAAGTGGGGCATGCCAATCTCCCCTTAGTGCTCCATCCTGAAAGCATTGCTAATGCTGGAAAGTTACTAACTGTCCACATTAAGGCAACACGCATTCGGAAAGTTTGGTTGGTTTCAGCATCAAATGTGTCTATCCCAATTTCCCATAGTTCCTTCAATTCTTCAATTAATGGTAGGTACACATCTATATCATTTCCTGGAGATGATGGACCTGGAATGATCATAGACAACATTATATACTCTGGCTTCATGCAAATCACGGTGATAAATTATAGTTCATTAATATAACAGGCCACGTGCTATGAGAAATGCTCATGGTCCGAAACGGGTTGAAACCATCACTTGAAAGACCCAATCTAACATTCCTAGCATCTCTAGAGAAGTCTGGGTGCAAAGAATCAAAAGCCTTCCAAGCTTCCCCATCAGCAGGATGTCTTATATTCCCATCATTGGGTCATTCATTAGCATGCCATCTCATTGCAGCAGCCGTTTCAGGACACATGAATATCCTCTGAAGCCTAGGCTTTAAAGGAAAGTACCTTAAAACCTTTGCAGGGATTTTAGAGCTTGCTTTAGTCAAAGGACCAGTACTCTTCCATCTTGAAGACCTAGAAATTATCGGCATTCGCATTCTCTNCAAAATAACATGCAATCATTAGGGCATGCATGTATTTTTTCATAATGAAGACCCAAATCTGTTATCATGTTTCTAGCCTTGTTGAAAGATTCCGGTACCTGAGCAAAGGGAAATGCCTCTTTTATCAACTCTAACAAATCAGAGAAAGCCACATTACTCAACCTATGCAAGGATTTAAGCAAGTACAATCGAATAGTGAAACTCAGTTTACTGAAATTTTCACACCCCGGATATAACTCTTGTTTTCCTTCCTCCAGCAAGTTGAAAAACTTCTTTGCATCTTCAGATAGTCTTTCCCCAACTCTTTCTTCATCCCCTGCCTGACCCTCTATATTTCTAAATGTATCATGAAGTAGTCCATCAATATCATCACGCATGGTAGAACCTTCATCATCATTGCTTGGATGAGGTGTATTTCTCGAGGAAAATCCTTCCACATGGAAAACCCATTTGGTATAACCATCAACAAATCCATGAACAACCAAATAATCCTCCACCACATTTCTATAATACCAATAGCGATTCATGCACTTTTTGCAAGGGCATAATATTTTATTTCCTTGGGCGGCTCGTTCAAATGCCTTATCAAGAAAATCATTCACTCCACGGATATACTCATCTGTCCATCTCAGGAGATTCATTCAACTTTTATCACCATTATCCATAGATATCCTATACGATAAAAGTAAATCAACAGAACTAACCAAATAAACTAAAAGCATATTAACTTGACTCAGGAAAATACTCAAGGGAATTAATGGAAATAAAGGCTATGGGTTCTTCTACTGCTTGTATGTTGACACTCGCTAATGACACTTTGCAATCTGTTAACGTGGGAGATAGCAGGTTTGTAGTGATCAGAGACGGGGTAATTGTGTGCAAATCGGAATTCGACAGTCGAGGTTCAACTGTCCTTTTCAGTTGGGGAATAGTAAAAATTCTAATTATCCAAGTGTTGCAGAGAAGATTAGTTTTCCGGTGAAAGCAGGAGATATAAGCCTGATGGGAACGGATAGATTGTTCGATAATGTTCATGATTTTGAGTTATAACTTGTTGTGAACAATGGAGTGGACTCGTGGGAATCGGATGCACCTAATACATAGGCGTGGAGGATAGCGCAATATGCACTGGAGAATTCTAAGAACATAGAGCTTTACACGCCATTTTCTAGGAATGTTCCAAAGCTGGATTTGAGCAGAGAGGTGAAAAGTATGATGATATAACAGTCATAGTAGCCCATATTTGGCCTTTGTAGTGCTCTATTGATGTCTAATCTAACTCTTTTTTTTCTGTGGAGAAATTAGAGTTCACAATTCTTGGTAGTTGTAAAAATTGATTAGAGATACAAGCAAGAAACCTGTATGTAATTTGATTCTTTATATATGTTTAGTCCCCATATATCATTGATTCACTGTAATCAAAGTTTCTTATCTTCTCTTGCAAATTTCTATGGTTAACTTTTATTAAATTTTACCACTTTAAGTGGTGTCCAATTTGCTCTGTTTTTATTAAATTTTGCATCTTCACGCGCACATACAAGATACAGAATTTTAAACCATTAAAAAATATATGAATATAACTGCACCCAATTGTTTACACATCACATTCCTGAAAGGCCCAATATAACTGGTAATAGAGAAAATTCAATATCCTTGATCAAAGAAAGAAGTAATCTCTCTAAAACCATTAAAAATCAGATCTTTACTAGTAATAAATTATCAAACATTAGAAAAAGTTGTATTCTTCAATAGAAGAAAGGTGGTTAATGCATCCCCCACTAAATCAGCTCAATGTAGAACCATAAACAGCCAAAATTTTTTATATATATAGTAAAGGTAAAAACTTTGTTTTTCAACTTAATTTTCTGGAAAAAAAAGAGGACCTTTTGAAGCATTCAATGCATACAGTCAAACAAGAAGAAACAGAACCTTTTATACAGCAAAACCAAGGGGAAAAAATGTTCATTGAAACATATATCTCAAATAAGAAAAGAATTTGCAGATAACCCAGAACCAACATCAGAAAATCAAAAGCTTGAAACAAAAAAAAAAAAACCCAAAGAGAAAGCAACCAAAAAAAAAAAGGCTAACAGAGGAAAAAGTATAAGAATTTTACCTGCAAACTGCACCAGATGAAGCAACAGATCTAAGGCTACCACCTGAAAATCCAAAAGAAGCGTTAGACAAAAAAATGGTTGATAAATTTTTTACCTTTCTATTAAAAAAACCCAGATAAAAGAACAATCAAAACAAGAAAAGCATACAAAAAGAATCACCTCTTAACAAGAAATAAATTTGGGGATTTGGGGAAGGAGTGCAGGAGAAGTGCCGGAGAAGCAACTGTCCTTGAAGAAGTGTCGGCGAAGTGCCGGAAAGACCGACGAAACTGTCCTTGGGGTTTTGGACTTTGGGAACTCTAGGGTTTGATGATTATGGTGGTCTAATGAAGAGGTATTTGACGAAACTCGGCCATTAATCTTAAACTCGGCAAAGATGAAAAAGAAAAGAGATCAGAGAGGCAATTTTGGGTGTATCGACGAGGGAGTTCCGGTGTATAGATGAGGGAGTTTGGATACAGTACTGGGGAGCTACATTTGGGTGTATCGATATAGTTAGGCCAGTAGTGTATTAAAATTAATTAAAAAAAATAAGTATATGACATGTCACTAATTAGCTTGGCGGGCCACTAAAATTTTTAGCAAAAAAAACGAGGGGAATGAATACCCGTTCCCATAGCAATTTTTTCCCAAAACCGTTGCCATATACATGTCTATTGGGACGGTTTACTAATCCGTTGCGACACAAAACTTTATGACAACGGTTTTGTTACATTTGTAATGGTTTGATGTCTAAAGTATGCTGATACCTCCCAAATTCTATTGTAACTGTTTGAACCGTTACTATATCATCTCTATGGCAACAGTTTGTGAACTGTTACCAAAAAAACTGTTCCCATAGGCTCATTTTCTGGTAGTGAAAGCCTATTGTGAATCTGATTGGGCAGCCTGTCCGGACGCCAGGAGATCCATTACAGGTTATTTGGTGCTTCTAGGCAATAACCCCATCAACTGGAATTCTAAGAAACAAGAGACTAATCTTTGTCCTCTGCAGAAGCAGACTATAGAGCCCTGAGGAAAGTGGTGGGGGAATTGGTATGGTTGAGCAGACTATTTGAAGAACCGACTGTTCCTTTTTCCATGCCTATTTCAGTATTTTGTGATAGTTAGTCTGCACTCCACATTGCCAAGAATCCAGTCTTCTACAAAAGAACCAAAAACATAGAGGTGGATTGCCATTTTGTGCGTGATCAACTGCAAGCAAGCTTGATTTGACTCCACCATATTAGGACAGACAATCAACTAGCAGACATTCTGACCAGAGCTCTGACTGGAATCAAGCATAGTGCTACATTAGGCAAGTTGGCTGTGTTTACCACACCTCCAAGTTGGGGGAGGGGGGGGGGGGAGGTGTTAAGATTAATTATTTACTTAGCCTAGTCATTAGCTCGTTAGTGGAGTAATTAGTTGTTAGTTAGTTGACAGCTGTAGTTAGTTAGTCGATTATCTTCATTTTCACTCTTGTATATAGTAGGCTCTCCACTCAGATTTTATTGAATGAATCAATATTCCAGAAGCTTCATTCTTTCTTCTTCCTTCTTCTCTTCACTGTCTTCTCTCATGGCGTAGAGGTCAATCTTGTTCATGATAATTTAATCTGGGAGATCTTGTAAGTTCAAAAATTTTGAGGACCATAAAATTAGAGAGTCAACGTTTCCTCTCTTCAAAATCTGAAAAACCATTTTAGTTTCGCTCCCATACGATATAAAGAATAAAAGATTAAAAAGAGTGGAGAGAATATCTCATGTACAATTCTGTAGAGTGACAGTAAGGATAATTTATTTGTTAACTTTTTCACTATTACCTCCGAAAAAAGTCAAATGTCTTACGTAAAGTTGCCAGAGTACGATAACTGTTTTGGTCTTAGGAAAAATGGTCAAAAGTTGTTATAACCATTTAGAGACAGACAGAGAGTTGTAGTGACATATATCTCTTAATCACTAACAATGGCCATCTAACCATAGGTCAATAATTTCACTGCAACTAACACAAAATTAATTATCTAAAAGTAAGCTGTTATGTTCTTATTCACTTCTCAGATGGGGGAGTGGTGTTTGGAGGAAGGTCAATTTCATACAGACTGAAATCTTGAAAGGACCCCAAAAGGATTTCCTTTTGCTGGTTACGCTAACAGGTACAAAATGGCTTAGTTACTTTTCATTATAAAACTCTGTATTTCGCACATGTTAGAAGGGGCATATGCAAGTATGCTCATGTATCCTACATCTATATGAATAGCTTTACAACAAAAAAATCAAAAATTATACTTAGTATAATTGATAGAAAGGTCAAATTTTCGGAGCAGGATTATGACACGTCACTAGCCACGTGTGCACTTCGCTACTCCTTAAATTCCACGTCAGAAATTTAAAAGATGCTACCGTGTAGCCTGTATGTAGGACCTTTTACGACCTATATGTTAATATATGAAGGACAATCAAAAAACAGTTTAATGAAACTAAAAGAAAAGAAAAAAACGACTGGTTGTGCCTTAAAGTATGTAATTTTTTAGGGCTGGACGATCCTTACTTTAATCCGTTTTTTTTTTTTTGTTTCCTTTAAGTATTTCTTTTAAATGTCTTTTGTTTAAAATATGGTGAAATTATCTTTTAATTTTTTAATTCGTAAACTAAAGAGTAGCAAATTACTGACGTGGTGAGTGACATGTAATTGACTTTTCATTTATTTGTATTTTCTATGCAATTCAAACATATTTCTGTTGCTTTAAGTTTTACTTGACAACATTTACTTTTATATATAATGGCAAAATTTTAATTACTATACGTGAACTTAACCAAAAAACTATATATATCACATGCTTAACAACGTTCTTCTTTGTAATAACGTTCTGCTAATTTTTAAGACGTTCAGACGATGCATACACTCTCTTTAGCTCTCCGAATAGTGAGTGCGGTGATAATTTAGCAGTCATTCATGACTTATAATTTCAACTTAACTTTAATTTTTTAATATTAAATCTCACTATATTCAATTTATGTGAACCTATTTCTTTTTCAGTATGTGCCATATAGAATGACCCATTTTCATATTTCAAAATAATGTACCTTCGTGCAATAATTTATAGCCACATAAATATATGAGTCTCATTTTACACTACAAGTTCAAAAGTCATCTATTTTTTCTTAAATTCTGTCCCCTGTCAAATAGGTTCACATAAATTAAAATGAATAAAATATAATTTAATATAATTTTATTGAATTTTTACAAATAAATTTATTTTGTATCGAAAATAAATAAACCTAAATTCATAAGGCTGCATTCCCGAAAACTCAATGGGGTGGTGGGTCATGGGTTGGTACCACTAAAACTCAATGAGGCGAATGATGCGGTCCGCCGCATGATAGGAGGCGGATGTCACAGCCGACAGCACCCTCCCATGTCATCTTAGACCTGCCGCCCGATAAACCAGCTTCACTCCTCTTTGGCTTCATCTTCTACTGTTGTTTACATTTACACAAATTTAATTCACCATACAAACGAAATGCTGTGAGAGTGATAAAAGTAAAATTAACTTTATTATATAAATTTTAGGAAGCAAAAAAATTTGAGATAGTTACTTATATAGCTGTATAGGGAAAAATCGGTTCATATTAAATATTCGAATAATAGAGCGACATATGGAACAGGGGACAACGGAAGACGAAGCAAATGGGAACCAAGATCGAGGACAGCAGCTCCGGTTGGTACCGGGCAGACCCCGACGGGAACATTACTAACGAGGACAAACAAATATTTACCACCCAATAATATTTAATAAAGAATATCCCTCAATATTAAATCCGCTATAGAGAATTTTGGCAGTCATAGCTTGCCGTAATATATTCGTCAATAGCCCTCATAACTGTCATTTAAGAGGGGCTTGATCCTAGGACCTTGTTCCTTAGGTGTAACTATAAATTGTAAGGCACGAAAATTCTGACAAACTTATGCTACACATTATTCTAAGCTCAATCATACTTCATTTTCTATCTATCAATATTCTTGTTGTTGTCTTCGAAAGCCTTGTCTTATCTCGATTTCAATGCTAAGTCTTACATTTTATTTAATTCATTTATCATTTTGGGATCAAATTGATTCGCTTGTCTTTAAACCATGTTATAAATTCAACTGTACCGTTTTACGGGTAAATAGTTTGGCGCCCACCGTGGGGCTTAGACAATTGCATAATCGAGTTGATCCTCACATCTATTACTAATATGTTTGATTATTTATTTCTCAACAAAAATCGTAAAAGATGGCAGATAACGATGTCAACAACGCACACAACATTGAGGAATAAGGAAATCCACCTTAACACGAAGATTCGATCAGCGACACCGGCAACGAGGATGACGTTGCCACGTAGGTCCATGCCGGGCAATATCCACGACACGTACGTGAGGTGACTCCTGATGATGCCGAAGACGAGCACGTTGCGAAAACGGTAAGGATCTTGAGAGAACAACAAAAAACCATCATGGGCTCTTACGACAAGACCAATCCATGACGGAATTGAGGCAAACGTTTTTGGGTGCTTCCAACAATACAAATAGAAGAAGTCTAGTTCCTTCCCGTGTGCAAATCAAATAACATAAATGGCTGATAACACCCCGAGGGTGAGGTCGGCTTCGATGGGGCCGGGGCGGACTACAGCGGATCTGGTAATAACAATGAGAATTATCCCTTTAAAATCAAGCTCATGTGGTTTATGAGGGAAACAAATGCCCGAATGGACCAAATTCAGGGCGCACAGCCAATATTGAAGGGATCAGACTCAAAGAAATACACCCAATTGCCGTTCAAACCGAGCGCGGCACCGGAGTTAATCTCGAAGCGGTTCAAAATGCCAGGCATACCAAAATATGATGGGACCTCGGATCCTCAAGAGTACATCACCACCTACACAACTGTGGTGAAAGGAAACGACTTAGCTCCGCACGAGATTGAGTCGGTCCTGCTGAAGAAGTTCGGGGAAACCCTCACGAAGGGGTCCCTGACATGGAATTCACTTTTACCCGAGCACTCAATAGATTCCTTTGAGATGCTCACAGATTCTTTCATCAAGGCCCATACCGGGGCTAGAAAGGTACATGCCTGAAAGGCTGACATATTCAAAATTGCGCAAGAAGAGTCCAAATTGCTGCGAGAGTTCGTGACCAGGTTTCAGAAGGAAAGGATGTTGTTACAGGCCGTGCCAGATGAATGGGTAGCTGAGGCATTTACTAAGGAATTGAACACAAGGAGCTCCGACGCTTCCCGGAAACTACAAGAAAGCCTGCTCGAGTTCTAGGCAACTACATGGGCAGATGTCCACAACCGCTACGAATCAAAGATAAGAATATAAGATGACCAACTCTGTTTCCTGGCATCAGCCAAGGGTTGGGATTGAGATAAGAACAAGGATAAGTTGAAGGACGATTTTAACGCAGATCGGCGATCTTCTAAGGGCCTTTTTTTGCCAAACGAAAGGGCCAAATGACGCGGCAGAAGTTTTCGATTGGCGGGTAGGTTCGCTACAAATAAGAGAACTAACCATGGCCGGAATAACATATCATTGCAGGACAAAGAGATATCAGCTTCCCAGGTTTCCACCTACCCAGGACTGTCCGAGTATAATTTTAATATTAGCATGGTGGAGCTGGTATCGGTGATGAGGAACATTAAGGAAGCACGGATCCCGAGGCCAATAAGATCCGATCCCAGTCAGAGAGATCCTAATCTATGGTGTGAGCATGGGACTAATGGCCACTGGACCCGGGACTGCCAATATCTGCGCGAGGAGGTGGTGACATTTCTGAAAAATGAACATCTTAGAGAGTTCTTACACAATTGGGAAAAATATAACTACGGCAGCAACCAGGATAATGCAGAGCCATCGAAGATAGGAGAAGATCCTCCTCGACTAACGATGAACATGATTTTCGGGTCGAACGAGATTAATGGTGTAACCTTTTTGGCAACAAAAAAGACAAAGGTATCAGTGATTCGTAGCAAGAGACTTCGGGAAGTCACTGAGGACGATATCACCTCCATAGAGGAGGACACCGATGGACTCTTACTACCGCATAATGATGCCCTGGTAACTTCTCTTAATGTTTTAGATTTTAAAACTGAATGCGTTTTGGTGGACCCAGGAAGTTCAGCCAATATCATTCAATGGAGAGTGTTGAAACAAGCCAAGCTATCCGAAAGCATCATTCCTAGCACAAAGCTCCTCACCGGGTTCAACTTAGAGAGTGTGACAACTCTAGGGGATATCCTGCTACCCACAAATGCCGAAGGGATCATGAAGACTACCTTGTTTGAAGTAGTAGACGACGACATGGGTTACAACATTATTCTTGGCAGACTGTGGCTACATGAGATGAAGGCTATGCCATCAACTTCTGAAATTCCCAACTTCAGAGGGATTAAGCGAACAAGAGGGAATCAACCGGCAACAAGGGAGATGAACCCGATCTCGGATTCCAGCAATAAAGGGAAGGAACATACGGCATAGAAATTATAGGAACCGATGGCCGCTCCCGAACAAAAAAAATCGATAAAGGGGAGGAGATGTCAGAATCCTATCAGGTATCAAGGTATTTCCAGGTACAGAAAGAAACAAAGGCAACTAAATCCACGACGGAAGAACGCGAACAAGTCGCATTTGAGAAGTTCTTAGAGAGGAAGTTCCACTCGGGGACAGGATAAAACCCCAAGCTCATATCAGGATTTATAGAATTTCTTAAAATTAATGTTTATTGTTTTTCATGGTCGCATGCAAATATGACAGGTATTCCGCTAGAGGTGGCCGTGAAGAAATTAAGCCTGGTTCCCAGCATCCCTCCGGTAAGGCAAAAGAAGTGCCCGATTGCCGAGGTCAGAAATTGGTTTGTCAAAGAAGAGGTAAGTCGATTGCTTGATATCGGTTCAATCCGGGAGGTAAAGTGTCCCGAATGGATAGCTAACATATTAGTAGTTCCAAAAAAATTTCACATGTATGTATATTATAAGGACCCGAATAAGGCGCGCCCAAAAGACTTGTTCCCATTGCCAAACATTGATCAATAGATTGATGCGACGACCGGTCACGAGTTGATGAGTTTCCTCGATGCCCATTCTGGGTACAACCAAATCAAAATGAACCCGAAGGATCAGGAAAAGACTTCGTTCATAACGAACTTTGGCACATATTGCTACAATGTGATGCCTTTCAAGATTAAGAACACAGAGCCACTTATTAGAGGCTCGTGAACAAAATGTTCGGAAAAAAATAGGGAAAATAGTGAAAGTTTACATAGATGATGTGCTGGTTACGTCTTTGAATGCAGGTGACCATTTGAAACACCTCCAATAGATTTTTGACATCATAAGGAAGCACAATATGAAGCTTAACCCCGAAAAGTGTGCGTTCAGAGTCAGCTCCGGTAAATTTTTGGGTTTCCTGTTGTCACAAAGGGGGATCGAAGTAAATCCCGATAAAATTAAAGCTATCGAGGACATTCCTGACCAGTTGTCAAGTATGAAAGAACTCTAAAGGTAAACTGAAAGACTTGCGGCTCTATGCAAGTTCATTTCCCGATCTTCGAAAAAATGCCATCACTTCTTCTCACTTCTGAAGAAGAAGAACAACTTCGAATGGACTCTAGAATGCCGGCAAGCCCTAAAAGACTTGAAAAGGTAATTTTCAAGCCCTTCGTTACTATCGAAACTAGAGCAAGGCGAACAATCACTAACTTACTTAGTGGTCTCGAAGGTAGTGGTAAGCACCGTTCTAGTTCGGTAAGACCAAGGTACACAATCTTCTACCTATCATGTTAGCAAAATTTTAACGGGATCAAAAAATCGTTACCCACACCTCGAAAAGTTGGTCTTGGCTCTCGTCGTCACCGCTCGAAAGCTTAGGCTTTATTTTTAACGCCACCCGATAGCCGTGGGGACAACTTTTTCCCGGTGGAATATCCTTCACAAACCTGAATTGTTAGGACGATTGGCTAAGTGGGTAGTCGAAATGAGTGAATTTGACATCGAGTATAAACCCAAGGCTGTGATAAAATCAACAATTTTGGCCGACTTTGTGGCTGATTTGAGTCCCGAGCTGCTGTCTTTGGCCACTAAAGAAGTGGTGATGGTGTTGAAAATGACATAAGGAGTTTCTTCCTTGTTCACGGATGGAGCTTCCAACGTGAAAGGATCTTGGCTCAAAATAGCATTAATATGGCCTCAGGAGAAACCCTGAGGCAGCCATAAAAATGGTTCCCTTGACTTACAATGAAGCCTAGTATGAGGTTATGATTGCAGGACTTAACTGGCCCGGGGACTAGACTCCGAGGTCATTGAAATTAAATGTGATTCCCAACTGGTGGTAAATCAGGTAAAAGGGATCTTCGACACCAAAGAAGAACGCATGCAACAATATGTGGCAAAAGTTCAAACTCTACTCACACGGTTCTGGGAATGGTCAATCACCCACATCCCGAGAGAAGAAAACATAGAAGCAGACACACTGGACAATCTTGGCTCGTCCACGAAAATGAAGGGATCAGATTTCGGTACGTTCGTATAGCTTATGCATTCGGTATTGCATGTGGATGGTTATTATGAATTAAATGCGACCAATTTGGTCTGGGACTAGAGAAATGAAATCATCGACTACCTTGAGCACGACAAACTGCCTGAAGACCCAAAGGCATCCCGAGCTTCTAGGGAGGCCAGTTGTATAGAAAGTCGTTCCAAGGCCCGTTGGCCTGATGCTTAGGAGCCCCTGAGGCCAATTATGTCATGAGAAAAGTTCACGAAGGAGTCTGTGGAAATCCCTCTTTTCTTGAGTTGGATTTTATCTCGGGAGTTCATATTCCAATATTCTTGCAATTAAACACATTTCATCAGTTTTCGGGAACACAATTAAATGCTTTTTTGGACTAAAACAAAAGTTAAAAGGCACTAGAAGTAGTCAAAATCCCCACTTATAAACTCCCCCAAACTTAAGTCTCTGTTTGTCCACAAGAAAATAAAATAGTTCCCACCTCCAAAAGTTAAAGGACATTATAGCCAGCCACGGGTGAATCATTAACACCTCAGTTGGGACCAACAATTACCCACACTACTCATGCATTATTGACAAAACAACAAGTTAAACATTTATGCACGTATAGCTCTAATGTGACGTTCAAGCATCAAGGGTTGACTTAGCTCATCAAGGACTTTCGCTCTATCTTATGGTCATGATGGATCCCAAACTCCTCCTCCTCTACTTTTCATTTGTCAAGCTTACTTAAGGATTTAGCAATCAATTCACAAATTTACGAAAGGTTCACGCATCTCTCTCAAGAGAATGTCACAAGTACGGCTTCCGGTACCATAAGCTTGCCCCTCATGTAAATCACCACTAATGTAGCTCACTCGGCTCGAAATCATATAGGACTTCTTTAGGGATGTAATGAAGGCTTTTGGATTAGTGATTGATACAATATGGATTACACCTTCCTTAAGCACTCCATCTTTCAATTCTCGACTCACACTTTACCGATTCCTTGAGGCACTTTCTTTTCCTTGGGGGGACTAGAGAGACTTAACATCACTCTTTATTGATCATTTTATTCATATTTCTCCATGTTTGGGATCATTGCCTTTCTTTGAATCCCTTCAACTCTTTCATTTATTCACTTTTTTGCATTTTTCTTTTTGTTCTTTTCTTTTCTTTTTGCCTTTCCTTCTCATAATTTCTTTTTCTCTTTTTCTGCCTTAATACCTTTCTTTGATTTCCTTGTCTCTCCCCCAAACTTACATTTTTAGCCAATTGATTCACATGAGTGTTAAGGAAAGCTCGAGTGCAAAGAGAGGGTAACTATAAAACGGGTAAAGGCTTGTAATATGGTTTTTAAATGAGAAAGGCTAAAGGCTCTAAGGGTTTGACTAGGGATGACATCATTGGTAGGCAATAGAAAACTCAAACGGGCCAAGGAAAGCCTACAATCACTTCTCAAGCCAAGGAAAACTTACGATTTCACCTTAAAACACATTCGGGGCAAATTCTAGACCTTCCGCACAAGTACTCAGACTAGCAACAAAGAATCTCACCCCTCATGCAACTAGATTGTTAAAGAGGATAGAGTCGAGGGCCCACAACGACCAAATTCAACATTGAAGATCACTATGGTCCAATTAGACCATTTGATGGTATCAAAGTCAACACAAGAGTCACAAAGTCACTAACTAAAGATATTTCCTTTTAAAAATCATTGTCTCTAACCATAAGCACGTAGTTAAATATGTTGGTGCCAAATGAAACATGTTTGACTCTTCGAGTATGAATTAATTAGGTTTTTTTATTCATCATTACTACTATTACTACCTAGACACCAAAGACGGACTCAATCCCTTAAGAAGGTTGTCACACCATCCATCGTTGGGAAGAGACACCCGGTTCACACAAAAACTATCTTTGGAAAGAACCGTGGCATTAAGAAAACCAAAGGCTTATTGTCCACTAAAAAATAAAAAGAAAATACTAAATCAAAAAGAAGCTATTAAATTAAAAAGAAGCTACTAAATTAAACACTAACTAATAAGAAAATAAATTAAAGAAGCTGCAAAGCAAAAATACTAAAAGCGTAATGAATATATATAATGAGAGAGAAAAAGAGAGAATATATACATCATGAGAGAAAGGAGAGAATATATACAGAATAAGAAGAAAGAAGAAAATACTGTTAGTTATTACAAACCAATTGTCTCAGAATCATCATCCAAATAGATCAAATTAACTTCACCCCCCCCCCCCAGAATAAAAATAAGCATTGTCCCTAATGCTTAACAAAATAAGAGTAAAGGGAGGGTAAGAGTGAAGAAGACACCCTATGTCACCTTGGACATCTCTGTGTCCACAGCAGCGTCACCGCCCTCAGTCTCCTCTAACTGGATCTCATCATCCTCGGCTCTGGGAGTGGCTAGGTAGGTGAACATCTGGCGCACTGCCTCAGCAGTGTCGGAAGCCAGGTCTGGTTCCTCAGACTGGCCAGCTGGTGCCACTGGGACTGATGGTGTTGCTGGTGGCTGTAAGAGCTGAATCTATCAGCATGTCAAATGGAAGATCTCCGGCTGCTGCAATCTTGGTCATCTCTCTCCGAAGCTTGTCAACAGATTTCTTAGAGGCTTGGGAATTTCTCATTTTCTGGACTTCATTTCCTATCTCCTCAATTACTGCTCCATGTTGTACCAAAGTGTTCATTATGGTGGTCTGGTTCTCCAGGAGCTTCTTCAAAGTCTCTTCTACTGTTTGGGGAATCTGGGGTGCCGGAGTGGATGATTGTGATGCAACAGCACTGGATATTTCAAACAGCTTTGCAGTGGTTGTCTACATCTAGTTGTTGAGGCTCGCTAGTGTCTAGGAGACTCGCAGCGCAAAAAGTGGAGTAGTAGACATAGGAACCAGCTTTAAAGGTGAGATGGAAGGCACTGAGGCTGAAGGTTGGGGCATGGCAACTGCACTGGTTGAAGGCTCTACTGAAGTGGATG